CCCCAAAACCCCAAAACCCCAAAACCCCAAAACCCCAAAACCCCGAAATGATTTGTTTTATTTGAATTATCGACAAAATTCATATATAATTTTAAAATAAAAATGATTGAAGGAATTGAACCTTCAGTTCCTCCCCAGGGAGACCCTTCGGGAGGCCAATACGATAATTTTAACAAAGTATTTGCTGAATCTGAGGAAGAGCTAGCCCGAATTGCTAGAAAACACAACTCAAGGACTTTAAAGGATTCCTTACTAGAGTTAGATGATGTTTCTTTGAAAGACCCTGATATTAATGGTGATCCTACATTTAACAAACTTCGAATGTTTTTAAGAGAGTTTACAATCCAAGCTCAAGATGCAATTCATGCTAAAAATACGCATTTAATTAAGGATTTCAAGTACAAGACTCAAATCCACGAGTGCCTTCGAAATATGCTCAGAGAGGTAGTAATGACACCAGACATTCAACGTAAGAAACTGTACATTTTAAGAGTGTACAAATGGTTTCTGAATAAAATGAACTCAATCGGGGCTATCAGTGCTGCCCAAAAATAAGAAAGAAGAAGCTTTCATGAATCCTGATAATGCAGCAGACGAAGAGAGAAAAAGACAAGAACAAGAGGAGATGATTAGAGCTAAGCTAAGGGATGAAAATCATATTGCAGAGATGCAGAAGAACCTGTTCCAAGCTGGAGAACGAACCATACATAAGGAAATCATTCCTGCTAAAGAGAGGGTTGAATTTTACAAGAGAAGGTTACCATATGATCCTAATTCTTCATTACAAGAGACTAATTCAACCAGGCCAAATACTATGTCCTCCACCAGGGTTAAAACAGCAAAGACAAGAGCTGATACAGCCTATGGACAAAATTATAGGCCATCGTTTAATACTTTCTTTAATGCAGGGGAGAAGGCTGAATTCGAAAGTCTTGTCAGAATAGAATCCAAAGGAAGTTATGGGAGCTATATTCCCAGTGACAACATAATCGAACAGAAAATCCACAAAATGTGGAAAGAAACCCAGCACAAAGACCTCGCCCAGAAAAGAGTGAACGACGAGCTTAAACAGACCATGAAGGACTGGGGCCTAGCTAAAGCTAGATATGAAGAAGACATTCAAAGGAAAATGGAAAATAGACTTTTTGGGTCTAACTTCATAGCAAGAGCCTATATTTGCAAACAAAAGCCAAAAATTAACATGATGAGAAACCATCTAGATGACTCTGATGGATCCTCCCTACTGAGCGACAGTGAGAAAGAAGAAATTGAAAAACAAGAGAAAGAAGAAAATCAAGGTGAAGAAGCGGATGAAGAATTTAGGGACAAAGTTATAGTTAAACGACCTCATCTATCATCAACTTTAAGAGCTCAGCAGGATGTCAGAATTCGGAGAGGGAGGGCTCATACTGCTGTCAGATGCAAGAGAAAACAACCACCTCCCAAATTATTCGATAATTCCAAAGACGAAGGAGATAAGCTATGATTTGAAAATATTGATCCAGAAGGAGCAAAGAAACTAGCTGAGCTAAATGATTCAAAAGCTAGGCCTCCTCCTGTCGTAGCTCCAGAGGAAGTGCTTAACCAAGAGTTTGGAGGAATCAGGCCTAAAACAACAGATGGAGCCAAAAGGAGAATACATATGCTCAGAAGGTTCCATGGAGGTCTAATCAATGCCAAAATCAGCAATATGGATATGATAAATAACGTATTTCTGTCAGGTTCGAGTAAAAATGTTGTTTCTCTCTCCGTGTATAATAATGCTGGAAAATATAAAGATGGACAGTATACTCAAAGCGCTTCCTCTCTACCAAGAAACAGACTTCAATCAGCAATGAGACCCCAATCAGCTCCATTCGAGTTTGCAGATGGGAGTTCGTTCAACTTATCCATCAGGCATAATAAGGGTGAAGTGATTGCTGAAATTGATAGTTTAAAGACTAGACTTGCAGCTGATGATGTCCCATTCAAAGTTGATACTCTTAAGAAAGCATTTGAAATGCCTAAAGAAGATGAATTTAAAATGAAGAAATACCCTGATGTTGCAAATTATCTCATGAAAAATCCATTCCAAAAGAAGAAAAAGAAAAAGAAAGGCAAAGGAAAGAAAAAGAAGAAATAAACTAGTGATCAGCTTTTCTTCATTAGACAGTTTTAATCTAATCTTTCAATTAAGGAAATCGTATGGGGTTTTGGGGTTTTGGGGTTTTGGGGTTTTGGGG